ATAAAACAAAATTTTGTGTTATTGGAGCCCAGTAAATATCTTAATGTAGCCAAGTAAAAATAGTGAAGGAAATTAACTGCTTCATGAACTTAATAAGAACATCTTGATTTTTCTTAAGGTTCCACAATATTGCCTAAAAACTAATTTGCATCATAAATACATACATTAATTCCTGGTAAAAGAGAAGCAAGTAGAACCATATCCTGCATTCTAGAAACATTTACATTAGTATATATATTGTCAAATGACACCCATCTCATCTTTAAAGTTAATGATTGTGGCATAAAACAATGGTGGTTTCTTGTTCCTGGAATTGTTGAACAATAGTATAACGTTTTTCTAACTTACTTTTTGCATTGTAATACAATTGCATTATTTGAAATGTATTGAAAATTTATATTTTTGATATTTTGTCGACACTAATCATACATTTTCTAAGGTGAATTGATAGGATTTGTTAATGATTGTAAACTGGTCCTTGCTACAAGTATTTTAAAAGAGCCCCCAACGCCATCACATGCACTCTTTCCATTTGATTTTACAAAAAATGCCATTCTGCTGATACATCATGATCATGTTCATGGTGACATAAGTTATATTTTTATAATTTTTGTATTGTGAACGTGCACCATCACTAAAATAAATGCAATGGGTAAAATAAGGCATCAACTCTTTTAAATATTTTATTACTTCATAAATGAAACAATTAACTAAGTTTGTATTGTTTTGCAAATGATCTGAGAAATGAATAAACAATTTTACATTTTATCTTATTTTCTTCCATATAATAAATAACTAAAAGAAGCAATGCTGCTTGACAGTTGTTCCAATGGAAACCTTGTACTGCATCTTGAATTCAAAAACTGTAATTTTCAGTAAAATCTAGTAATACTAAAATATGATTACTTGGTGATGTTTTTTAATATCTTCACTTCCAACAAGGCTGCAAGCAACCACTGCAAGCAACCTTTATTAGAATTGGATGTTGCTGAAAGTAACTTTTAACTTAATAAGTTATTTTTAGATATGTTTTGAGATTTTAACAAATTAACTATTATTAACAAGTTTATGGTAGAACATTAACCTTATGGAAAACGAGTTAAAATAATGAAATAATATATATTCCACATTTTACATGTTATAATATATATTCCACATTTTACATATAGCAGGTATGAGCTTTATATAAAAAATAAATTCTCATTAGAAAGTTTTAACATTACAACTAATTTACATATCCATACATGCACTTTCTTTAGAAAATCCTGCTTACGCTTGTTAGGAAACGCCTTGACATAGGGTTCAAACAAAAAATGGTTTGTCCGTTTTTGATTAGATAAAACAACAAAATATTTTATTTAAAAAGTTATTCATTTTAAGTTTTAATAATAAATATGTTTAAAATAACACAATAACTTAAACAATGTTTAATTTTTTTGAACATTCTTGATAAATAGACTGTTTTCGTAAAATTGAGAAGCAGTTTATATATCATTGCTTATATATCATTGATGTTGCACTACCATAATATAATTACTTTTATAACACAGTTATAAAAGTAATAATGCTAACCAAGATCTAAAAATAACTATTAGTTATTTTATTAAAAATAACTATTAGTTATTTTTAGATGCTGCTTGATTTTTGACTATATAGTGATGGTCTATTAATTATCTATTTGTTAACAAGGTTAACAAATAACCAAATTAACAAAGTTTTAAATAAAATCATTCACTGGAAGAGTTATTGGAGCTATATCATGTTTTTTGTTAGGTTTTTACCACTGATTAAAGGTGATTTCTGCATCTCAGCATGGAAATCTGTGTTTGATAAACACAGATTTCCATGCTTGATGTTTATCAAATAGAATAGTAAGAGTAGTGTGTTATTATTTTTGATATCTGGTATTTTTAATGCTAAAAGTTGCATTCTGGTGGTACTCATAAACACATATTGAATAGAGATCTGAAGTACTTCCAATAGGAATACATCACTTTAGTCTAAGTTCACAAAATTTAGAAACCTAATCTTGAAGCCAATAAAAATTTTAATGAACTCTAAATAAAGTTCTTATTTTTATTTTTTTTTAATGTGAGTCTCATTAAAACCATTATCTTTATGTTTACATGAATCACTTCCATACTCTCAATAATTAAATCAAATATTTTCATATATTTGTATTTATTTTTATTTTATTTTTTTATTTGAAAATAAAATGACTATGTTTCAAATGTTTGCAAATTGTGAATATGGAATGTATTGTTATTATCTGTAGGATCCTTATGTTGATCTGCATCATCAAAAGATATGGGCAGGCACTGAAAAGTATTGCAATGGAAAAAGATCATGCATTTCTAGATTACCAGATTTTTTGATAATTGGTCCACGAAAAACTAGTATAACAGCTCTATATAAATTATACTTTTAATAAAAGCCTATGACCAGGTATTAAATCAAACTTCTTTGTGAATAATGTTTTTTCTGATAGAATCTAAAAAGTCAAAACATTTAAATAAGCCATTATCTTTTAAAAAGTCAGGTCAGTTTATTTGTAAATACTTTTTAATTTAACTTTGTGTTAAATGGATCAATACAAAAACTTCTGTCATATGGAGTTTCAAATCTATCCAAATAGACCTTTTCATGGTGATTGCAAAGAGTTAAATATGATTTACTTTACATCGTAAGTACACAGGTTCTTGATTCTGCTGCAACGTTGATTTAGATCTAATGCACTTGACATTTATTTTCAATTACTATCTTAAAAAATTTATTTATATACAAGTTTTGAAATATAAACTAAGTTTTACATGAGGTTTGGCACAACGAATAAATATGATATAATAAATTTTATATATTAATAAAGATATAAAAAGAACACTTGATAACTTGCTTGTCTTTTATGCAACAGCTTTTGAATGTTTATGTTGAATTCTTTGTTTGTGTATAAAAACACTTTATGCATCAGACATAAAACCAGACACACCATGTAAGAAGTGTTCAATTACAATTTTTTTTCTGTGCATAAATGAGCATGTTAAAAAGTAAATTAACACAGGAGGAGGTGGGGCTGCAAGGAGGGGCTCTAGGGCTATTTAAAAACGGATTTTAATTCTGGCTTAATTTAAGACTTATTTCTAGTACCGATTATGAAATACTTTTACACAGGTACATACTTTGTATTACAATATATAATACAAACTAAAGTGCATCTTAATAATAACTTTGTTTTTATTGTATTTAATGCATTTTGTGCAAATTTCATTGTTCTAGTTCCTTCCCGGTGAGTGTCTACTATTTTTTTTTTTGAATTCACTAAAGTCTGTTCAATCATTACAATAGAAATTATGAAATAAAAAATTATAAAACCTAAAAAAAATAAAACCTTTGATCCTTCCTTACCTGTGGTTTAAAGAAGTGGCACAATTTCTTAAGTTTTAGCCAGAATCATTTTTAGGAATCCATAACTTTTTGAATTGTACCTTCTCAGCAAATTTCCTAAAATTTAGAAGCCTACCATTTATAGAAACTTAAAAAGTATGTCTTTTCACTTCTTCTCCATATTACTCCAGTTCTTAAAGATTTGAATAAATCTAAAGTTCTTAAATAATGAATGAATAAATCTTAAATTCTTAAAAATAAATTTTTAAAGATTGACTAAATCTTTAAAAATTTTGTTCTCTGAATCTGATACTATTGTTTTCATAACAATAGTTATCTTCATGGTGACAAATCAGATTATCTCTAATATAAGTTACTACACTTGTTAAGGACAGTTTAAAAAAATTTTAACAATTGGAAAAAACAATTAACAATATCTAACAATTAGTTCAAACCTGTCTTGTTTATACATCTTGTTTACATATAATTTCTTTCGTTTTGAAACATTTCTCTGTTTTTATTAGGAGAATAATTTCATTATTGTAACGTTTTTTAAAATTGAAAAATAATCTTTTATAATATTTGGTTCTTCAAGTTCAATCTCTTTTAACTTCAAGTTCAATCTCTTTACTTCAGGTTTTTCACTTTCATTTTCATTGTCTTATTGTATTAGTATTATTTTTAATTATTATTATTATTATTAGTTTTGGTCTAGAATTGGTTTCACAGGAAGTGCATCACATACTGTTAAACGGATTTTATGTAAATAGATGCAGATGTGATGTGGTGACCAAATTTAACCATAACATATTTGAACTGTTTTTATATTATGAAATGATGGCAGTTCTATTTCCAGCTTTATTTTGAACTTTTTTTATACACTTATGTCTTGTTTGATTGTTACAATGAGGTCTCAGGTTTTGCATTTAACATTTTACCTTGCACTTTAATAAATACTTCAAAACAGGAGCATTGCTTTTAAAATTTTGAGAAAATATATTAAAGTTGCCTTTTTGCCTTTAAAATTATTTTTAAAAATATGCTGCAAAGTGTATTAATTAAATTAAGATAACACCATAATAGTATGCAGATTCATCAACATTGTAAAAAAGTGCTGGTAACCAAAATATCAAACAAAATAGATCCAGATCCTAAAATACAGGTATGAGTACTCAAGTATTTGGGTCTTGATCTTGCATTCAACTATGCTCTATATGTAGCTCTGTCTGGGGGACTGTTGTAAAATTAGAAACTTATTACTTTCCCTGTCTTTTTTCTATACTTCTGAATATCAACAAAGAATTTTTAAAAATAAGAATACTCAAATCTTGTAAAAATTGACAAAACTATAAATCTATTATTCTTAGCATAGTCTTTAACTTTAAAATCAATTAAGTATAAAAAATAGAGCATATAGTAAATTATATTTCAGGTATTTTAATTTAAATTCAAAAAAATGTTGGTTTAGAAGCATTAATTTAAGGAGTTTATGCAGTTTATAAATTTGGTGAAAAGTGGAAGTTCATGTACTTTTATTAACATTATTAAAGTTTTATACTTATGTAATTTAGTTTTGTTTTAAGTTTTTATTAATAAATATTTTCTATTAACTTTTAAAGTATATGCTCTGGTTTTGTTGCCGCAATTCTTAGCACACCAGCTGATGTAGTCAAGACACGCATTATGAACAATCCTGAAGCTTATAATGGTTCAATGGATTGTCTGATCAAGGCGGTATTTGCCTAAATTAAAATGTTTTATAAAAATACATGTTAACTAAATTTTAATTTAATTTCAGTCGTTTTTGTTTCTCTTAGATCCAACATGAAGGATTTATTTCGTTATATAAAGGTTTCCTCCCAACTTGGTATAGAATGGTATCGTGTGATATTTTTTGAACTTTCTTGCAAGCAATTTTGTTTTTTTGTTCATGTAAAAACAGCATAGCATTTTATTTTAGGCACCTTGGTCGTTAACATTTTGGTTAACATTTGAACAAATACGTCACTTAAGTGGAGCGAATACTTTTTAACATCATCAAAGTTTTAATTAGGTAATATACTTTAAACTATATTTACTAAATTTAACAACTAGAATTTAAACTATTTATAAATATAACTAGTTATAAATAAAACAGTATACAAAAAATTATAGTTAAAAATATCTGATAATAAAATAAAATTAATACTTAAAACTCTTAAACGGTTGCACTTTTTTTATTGATTGTTTTGTAGACTAGACTATAAAACTATATTACATGCCACTAATGGACCACTAAATAACTAATGATCAAAGCTCGAATATATTTTTAAAGAAGTCAATATACCCAATGAGCATGGGTTGTCTAGGGGACGTCCGTTGGACTTTTAAACGTCACCAAAACGACGAATACCAACTGAATAGATTTACTGGATATCTACTAAAATGTTTTCTTATTTTTAATATAGCCTCCATACAAATAAAATATTTTAAAATAAGTTTAAATGGAGAAAATGTTATATTGAAAGATAGTGAAGATACTTATTTGACATAAAAAAGAAAAACAGAACTCCAGACAACAATTAAAAACATTCGAAAATTTACAATGTCTCAAATTTGCTTTGGTTAAAACATTTATCAGTTTGTGTTTTTTTGTGTTTTTTTGTTGTTTTTTTTAACATCTTCGTTTCCAACATGGCTGCAAGCAACCACTAATTAGTGTTGGAAGTTACTGGAAGAGAAAAGATGAAGGTTGTAGAGCAAGATTACGATTGACAGATGACTTAAAAGATTGCAAATTATATGAATCAGGAAAGCAAGATGAAGGAAGCGAATTCCAAAGAACTGATGTTCGAGGAAAAAAACTAGACGAATAAGAGTTTTTGGAGCACTTAGGAACAGAAAAAGGATGAGACTCAATTGAATGACGAGTAACACGAGAATGAATTTTAGTAGATGGCACAAGAGACGCTAGTTCTTTAGAGCAGTGCCCATTATAGTGTTTGTAGAAAAAAGAATAAGAAGCGACATTGCGACGATGTGACAGAGGTTGAAGGTTGGCTGCAAGAGCAGGTCCAACTATGTTGTATTCCATACAAGGTCGGATTTGAGATTTATAGAGATAGAGAATAGAATCCAGAGTAAGAAAGTGTTGAGCTCGATAAAGAGATGCAATTTTAGCAGATGCTAATTTTGCAACGGATTTGATATAGTTTCCAAGAAAGATCAGAAGTAAGAGTTACTCCTAGAAGATGAAGGTAGATGACTCATCGAGTACATTACCCTTCATAAATATAGGAAGGTCTAAATTATTGCGATAACGATTGGCTGAAAAAAAAAGATTTTTATCTGAATTAAAGTTCACCAGCCAGTGTGAGCCCCATGCTGTAGCAGAAGTGAGATCCTTTTCAAGCTCAAATGCCCCCTGTAAGCAATCAGAGGGAGTTGGCTTCTTGTCGTGACAAGAATAAATGGTAGTATCATCAGCGAACAATGCCACCTTAGATGTGAGAATATCTGGAAGATCGTTGTTGTAAATTAAAAAGAGTATAGGGCCAAGGATTGAACCTTGAGGAACCCCTGAGGTTACAGAATAAGAAGAAGAGTGCTGTCCATCAAGGACAACTTTTATACTACGATTGGAAAGAAAGGATTTAATAATTTTAAAGATGTTTTCAGATACACCGTAAGAAGAAAGCTTATGGAGAAGACCAGCATGCTAAACTTTATCAAACGCTTTAGAAATTTCAAGAGCAATGGCCTTAATCTCTCAACCTTTATCTAATGCATGATAAATAAAAAAATTTTTTTACATTCATCAAAATAATGTTGCTTCTTGAAATAACTTTTCAAAAGACATTCAAAGTTGCAGCTGTCAATCTCTCCGTCTCTTACTATGATGGTTGTTTGAAATTAAAAGATTTTGCTAACATTAAATCGATGTTGGCTTGATTAATTTCAACACATGTTCTAATTTGCATAAATTTTCTGATTTGAATCCAGTTGTAACGTAGCTGTTTAATTATTTGGCAGTCAAATCATTAGAATCAGTGGTTTGGATTTGTTGTCTTACATTGAATTTTCTTTTCTTCGTTGGTGGCTCTTAAGGCTTTGGGACAAAATTTGAAGTCGTTCGAGGAAAGCAAGAAAACGTAACTTTTTATAGTTTTGGGAACCAACTGTCTGCTAAGCTTTAGATTTCCATCATCACTGTCATCACTACTGGATCGAGTGAATAATGTTATGAATAAGAAATGTTTTAGAGTTGTTGGCAATCTTTAATAGTTTCTTTATTTGATGATAGCAAGAATGGAAACAGTCTATTTAAGAACTCCTGGATTGCTCAGAAATTTAAGCAGATTGACAGTTAAGATCAAGTGTCTTTTAAAAACTTCTTTTTAAATTCTTCAATCAAACGACCACAAATAAAATTTTTCTCCGTTTGCAATTCCTCAACTAAAAATTTCAATTGCATCTTCTGCAATGTTCATAACAGAATCATTGCCACTTATGGCATCCATAGCCATTTTACCTAGTTGAAGAGTTGCTACTAATTCGAGAATGCTCATCTCTAAATAATTAGACCAATCATTTCCAAATGCTTGAAGAGTCTTTTTTCATAGCTGGCATCATGTCATTAAAAGTCAACAACATTTTCACTGTTCAACAACATTTTCACTGTTCCATCAAATTCATCGAGCACTAGCTATTTAGATTTGATTCATATTAAGCATTTTCTTTTAGTTATATAAAATAGTTTGTCTTCATATTCTTCTTCTTCGTTTGTTGCTGAACTAAGCGCGCTTGGTGCACTGCAAAATGTGCATCTGAGATATGTATGCTGAAATGTCACTCTCTGCATCTGATTCTTCTTTGCTCTGGTGTGATGATGAGTTTGCTTGATTGATGTCTGAATGTCTTTTTACGTGTTAGTACTTGTTTTACACAAAGGTGGACTCCATTTTCATAGCAAATAGGATGAAGTTGTTGTGAGAGATGAACACATTTAATGCATTTTCTTGCCCCATTCATAGTTTGACCGATGCAATATTGGTCAAGACCAATGCCGCAGGTCATTAGTTGATAATTTTGCATTCTCACTAGCGTTTTGGCATCGCATTTTTTTCCCATGTGTCAATATACATATCTATCATGCATAGACATACATATATCTATCATACATAGACACACATATCTATCATGCGTAGACATACATATCTATCACGCTTAGACATATATTTATCACGCGAGTAGATATATAAACCTGTTTGCATTGAAATTGTAGATTTACTTTTATACTGTTTATCAATTGTATGTTTCGAAAAACAGTGTATATATAATACTAATTTAAAACTACAAATTAAATTCATGTTTAGTGTTCATTTTTTAGAAATTTTTATGTATTTGTACTTATATTAATAATATTAATAGTATATAAAATATATTTATATTAATAATATATTAAGAATGTTTTGTATTATGTTTTATGATTATTTCAAGTGTTCTAAAAAAAGATGCTTTCAGTCCTACGATTTATATTTTTTGTTCAAAATTTTAAACAAGCAAAATTGCTTTCATACTTAATATAGTAACAGGGTAACATGGGTTCTCATAAAAGACCTAGTCCTCGTGATTTATGTTTTTAGTTCAAAAATTTGAACCAAAAATTCTTTCATCCCAATGGTTTTTTGTTCAAAAGTTTGAACAATCAAAAATGCTTTTATCTCCATGATTTTGTGTTTAAAAGTTTAAACAAAAATCCTTTAAATGATCTTTATTATCTTTATATTTATCGTTTATATCGTTAAGTTTATCGTTTATATCGTTAAGTTCATCGTTTATATCGTTAAGTTCATCGTTTATATCGTTAAGTTCATCGTTTATATCGTTAAGTTCATCGTTTATATCGTTAAGTTCATCGTTTATATCGTTAAGTTCATCGTTTTATTGTTGTTATTATTACTCAGAAATTAAAACAAATAATTTTATATATGAATGAAAAAAAAGTTTCTTCATTGTTCGGCAGGCATGAAGTTAAAACAGAAATATGTATTAAATATTGATAACAATAAAAAATATATGAAATTAAATTTCTATTTCTTTTTTCCATTAATCAATCTCAAGCTCTCAAATTTTAGAATAAAAACGTTAATAAATATGATAATACGTCTGCATACTAACATTAATGCAGATCGTACAAATCATCGGTAGCACTGGAATGTTTGTGATCAAAAGCTGTTAACCAATCTATTTGGTTCAAAACAATTAACATTAGGCTTTTTAATAGTTAAAAGCGTTTTTTTCCAACTCTCTTTTGTTCTTTATTTATTTTTTATTGCACCATTTTCTTCTACAGACACGTTGTAAAAGTTTTGCATTTTTTCTATTTTTAACATTTTTTCAATTTACGAAATAATTTTTATTATAGTGAAGAAACAAGTTTTAAAGCATCACGGTTTAAATAGCGAAACATTACGTTTTGATACAGCAAAGCATTGCGGATTTTCAAAACAAACATTAAGTTTGATGGACACTAAAAGGGTGTGAAAATTTTAATACCAAGTTATTTTTATCAATGTGTTTTGTTTTTTACCGTGATTTAATGTTAATTTTGTCTCACTTTCGCGATTCTTCTCTTTTATTTTAGCTGTGTCTGTTAATTAAATCACTAATTTTTTCAAATAAGTTCTTTTCGTAACCGTTTTCAAGAAATGCAATCTATTAAGAAATCGATTTCTGTATTTACAAAATTTTCAGAATATATATATATATATATATATATATATATATATATATATATATATATATATATATATATATATATATATATATATATATATATATATATTCTGAAATTGCGGAAATTAACGATTGATTAATCGATTAATCGCTAATTTATTTAATCGATTAAAATTTCTTTATTCAGTAATATTTCGATTAATTTTTGCCGGTTTTCCGTTACTTATTTTTTTGCCGTACATATATATATTAACAAGTTTCGTAATTTATAATAGTAATATTTACAAGTTTCCTTAGTCAAAATATATAAACGAGATTATAATTATAATTAAAATAGTACATACAGGACTTCAAGAGGATCTTACTGATCTTATCACGAAGCCCTTACAAGTGAATAATATATATTATATTCAATATAGGTAATATATTATATATTAAGTACAACTAGTTGTATTAAAACTACTCGAATATTAAAGTTAACTTTAATATTCTTCAATTAGAATAAACTCAAGATAAAATAAAAATTAACAAAAACAAGATGCAAGATAATAACTGAAACTTATTTTTCAATATGTTTCGGTTATCTTGATCACAAATAGATTTATTTTTGGTTGTTAGTTTGTTGTATAAATAAGGACCCCGATATGAAATAGAAAATTGGGAGAGTTTTGTTTTTTTGAATGGTGTGATAAAGTTACCTGTTTCTCTTGTATTATATTTATTAACGTTATTTATAAAGAAATTATTTGTGAAGTGGTATGGTACTTGGCCTAATTTAAATTTTAGCATGAACAATATATTTTGGTATATGTTAATTTGATAAATGTTAAGCATTAAAATTTATAAAAAAATATATCGTTTTCATATAAATCATTCGCAAAGAAGTTATTTTCAGTTTTAAAAGTTTTAAAAACGTCTAAACGCAACTTTTCAAAATCAATTGTTTCAAAGTCATTAGCCTTGACGAAAAAGAGTATTAAATTTAGAATTTTTCAATAGAATTCGATAAATATAAAATTATTTTTGAAAATCTCGACTAAAAATTTTTTCATATTTTAAAATACTTACTGACCTGGGAACATTATCTTACATTTCTATATCCGTTTCTAAAGTAAACAAAGTTTGTTTCGCAAATATGGCGGCGGCAACTAATGAAAGCAACGTTTCTGTCAAACATTTAACTGGAAAGTTAAGCAAGCATTTTGTTTTCAAGTTGAATGCTGATGGTAAAGTAGACGAAGGTAACAAAATATACTGCGTTCACTGCAATAAACAGTTCGCTTTCCGTGGCTCAAACACATCGCTGACTTATCACCTTCAGCACAAGCATCCTCTGAAATATCAACAGGTTGTCGACAGTGAACGTAAGATGACCCCTCAGGTAAAATCAATCACCAATTTCTTTACGTGTCAGTCAAACAAGCCTGTCAGTGAAAAGGTCTCAGCCGGCCTTAAGGTGGCAATAGCTCATTGGATTGCCAGTTCTGGACGTCTGAGAGCAATTGTAGAAGATTCTGGACTAGAGGCGGTGCTTCGTATTGCCCTTCAAAACAAGACTTACACTTTGCCCAGTCGCCGTACAATCGACACTGTCATTGGAGAGATGTACAATGAGAAGTTGAATGAGCACAAGAAAGCTCTAGAATGCATTCATAGTATTGCTCTAACTACTGACTTTTGGACCTCCACCAACAATGAATCGTACTGTGGGATAACAGGTCATTGGATTGATTCTGAGTGGAAACTGGTGTCTGTCGCTTTAGCTTGCATAAATGTTGAAGAAAGGCGCACTGCTGATAATGTTGCCAGTTTCTATGAAGAGTTTGCCGCAACGTAGAACATTGCTGAAAAAATTAGCTGTATCGTAACGGACAGTGCACAAAATATGGTTGCTGCTATAGGACGGACGAATTACAGCCATATACCGTGTATTGCACACTGTCTTCAACTGAACATACTAGCAGGTTTGAAAGCAGCTGATTCATCTCCTATTCTGGCTAAATGTCGACACCTAGTTGGACATTTTAGGCGCAGTTCAAGGAATACATCAGAGCTAAAGGCCAGCCAAGCCAGTACCTCTAACAGGTCTGACGATGTGAAGTTTCACAAATTGCAGCAGGATGAGCTACGCGGTGGAACAGTACCTACCTAATGTTAGCCAGATTGCTGGAAGTGAAAGATGCCATAAAGCAGTATCATATTGACCATCCCAAGAATTAGACTGGAGATAAACTAACGGAGTTGGACTGGGACAGAATGTCAAAATTTGTCTCGGTATTGGGTCCACTTGCAGATGCTACTGAGTATATTGGTAGTGAACAGTATGATACATGTTCGGCTGTACTTCCGTTAGAAGCATTTTTGCGCAGACTTCTTCGGGTTAATGATTACGATCCAGGGTATATAGCACGTTTCAAATCTGCAACACTGAATGACTTCTCAGGTCGCATTGAAAATATTGATGCATTGCCAACGTTGCAAATGGCTGTGGCATTAGACCCACGTTACAAGAAACTCGGCTGTCTCTCAAGAGAGAAACGTGAAGCAGTTTGGACAATACTTTCTAATGCATTTCGGGTGTACTGTGACCAAAGACAGAGAGCTGAACGTGAAACTACTACCAGCACTTCGATTTCTGTATTTACACAAAAATGTTGTAAATACAGAAATCGATTTCTTTATAGATTGCATTTACTGAAAACGGTTACGAAAAGAAAATATATATATATATATATATATATATATATATATATATATATATATATATATATATATATATATATATATATATATATATATATATATATATATATATATATATATGTATGTACATATATATATATATATATATATATATATATATATATATATATATATATATATATATATATATATATATATATATATATATATATATATATATATGTATATATATATATATATATGTATATATATATATCATATATATTTAGAACATAAATACATATCATATATATTTAGAACATATAGGCTCCATTGATAAATCCTTTAGATTTAGATTAGAGTTCTAAGATTTTTGGATCGTGATTTTAATTGCTTTTTACCTAAATATTTGTAAATGCTTCTTTTTAATGTATGTTAAAATGAAAACTTCATTTTTGATTGTTGATTACTTAAGTATCTACTAATCTTTTTTTTTTTTTTTTTTTAATTTTTTTTTTTTTTAAATTAAAAAAAAAACTTTTATTTCAAAAAACTACATTCAAAAATTTGAGTCTTATTATGCAATTTTTATTCAAATAACAAGATATTTTCGAATGAAATGTGGAGAGAAAAAAACTTCCATTAATCAATAATTCTGTACTTAATTTGTACCAGTTTTTGCGCATTTTTTAGATAATGAAAAATAAGAAAAAAGTTTTGAAAGCGCTTCAATGGTATGTTATACCCCACGCATGGTATTCACCAAATATGTTTGCAAGATTGGTTGATCCAATTTCAACTTGTTCTTTTCGATGGCTTAGCCGAGCCCATCTTTACTTTTTACAAAGTACCCAAAATTGGTTTGATTTTTGGAATGCCTTAAAAGTCAAAGTGATTTCAACGCGTAATATTTATGCTTAACTACTATAGAATAACATCACAGGAATGTATTTTACATAAAATACAATAACAGAAGTTCGTTTTATCTAGTTACTATAAACTCGCTCGTAATTTCCGTAATACAGTTTTCCCCTAAACCTCAATAATAAACTAAAATACCTTGGATTCCTTTGTAATAATCAAGAACATATAAAGTATAGTTACATTCCAAACAGCAAATGTAAACGACAGTAATATTAAATTTTAATCTATCTCCAGAACTCTTATAAAATTTGGGAGTAGTTTTTATCAACCGTTAACTATAGTACATTTATTCAAATCTTTGTCTATACCGAATCTTAAAAATCTGTACGACTTAAAAATCTATACTTATAACAATTCATTTCATAATCACTTGGATGCTGTCGGAAGTTCAACATTCAAATTCCTTTTATAATCATATCGAAGTACGGAATAAATTTTTTGCACTCCTTCTTTAAAACTGATGTCGTGTCTACCATTTTCATACAAAATAAACTAAATCTGTTTATCAGATTACTGAACAATCCAACTTTTTTTTTCTCTGATTCCGATATCTTATATTACTAAAGATTCCGATATCTTATATTACTAAAGATAACCACTTTATTAACAAAGTAATGAAAACTTGCTACCGACTAGAGATATAGTTTGATAGAGGGGGGAAAGCATTATCAAACGCCGTAACATTGACATAGAAGACAACATATCGGCAATTTTATACCAGTCCTATAAACTCTGGAATGTTGGAGAACAAAAAATGATATTCAAAAATTTGAGGCTTTATTCTTTATTTTTAAAGTAATCCAAAAAGAGTCTAAACTCCACATAAAAAAAATAGAGTTTAGACTTATATTATAAACAATCAGTTTTATACACTTTGTTTTGCAAATTGTTACCTGCAGTTTGTATTATAAAATAAATAAACAAAAGGTGGGGGAAAACTGTAGCTAACAATAGATAACACTTTGAATAAAATTTACTGTATTAATTACTTCAGATAAAGCTTCAAAGTTATAAAATGACCATCAAAGCTTAATATCTAAAAAAAAAAACCAACCCATTTTTTTTTTAATAGTGAGAATACCTATCCAAATATGTAAATCACTTTAGAATAAACACAATCTACGCTTATCACATCTAACACTGCTTGCTATTTGCAACAACAAAAATGCGATTAAGAAAAATTACCGCAAAAAACTTATTAAAATGCAAATGGTTATCAAAACTTATTAGATACAAAAACTTATCATGACGTATTTATTTTAACACTTCCTGTCAGTATTTTTGAGTTTTAAAAAAGCTATTTTGTGGTTTTAAATGTGATTATCTGAAGCTTTAGTAATAATTGGATTGTCCTTATTGGTTATGCATTACAAAGGTACGTTTAGTGCGTAAGTATGCGATACGTATTTTGAATAGAGAAATGATAATTTAAATAATTTTATTTCTCTCACGTTCAAAAATGTACACTTAAAGATCATTACAGTTAAGTATATTTTAATACAACAAATAGTACAAATTAAATATGTACAAATTATGCAAATGAAAAACATAGATGAATTCTTACCGAAAAACTTTAATAAAAGATTTAAATTTATTTTAACCAAAATTCAAACATTTACAGAATTTCTATAAGTTAGGGGTTAAAGTCAATATTATTTGTGTTGGGCCCTTAAATCAAAAGTTAAAACGTTAACTATATTCGCATTCCGTTAATAATGCTTTGAGACTTAGCGCCATTTTCAATAAGAAACGAAGATAGTTCAAAGTTTCCTCCTACTGAAGCTATTTCAAGCGGATATAATTTATCTTCAGAACACAAATTTATGTCTGCCCCATTTTTTAATAATAATTTAACCATTTCTTGATTACCGTTTTTACATGCGTGATGAATTGCTGACCAACCTGGTTTTCTAATAGCGTTTATTAAAATATTCGGCGTTCTAAGTATTTTTCTAACATCTTCTATATCGTCTCTGGCGACTGCATTAATAAGCTTTGTTTCATTATCTACAGTTGAGTAAGTCTTTTCCAACAAACTTTTTCTTTGAGTATTGTAATCAGGAGTGTGCAAAATGTTATGACTTAGTTTTCGACTTAGTTGTTCAGACATGTTTTAAGTTTTACCTAAATCGCGGTTGGTAAATTGTACAAATTAATTTAATTAACGGCAATTCGAAAAGAAAATATAGAATGTAAGGTTGCTAAGAAACATAATTTAAATACAGCTAAGCAAAACAACGCGAAAAGATTTTTTAAAGATAATAAATTTGTAATTTCCTTTCTTTGATATCACGGAAATATTTTTGTCTCTGTAAATATAAGACTGTATGTTTTACAGAAACGTTTTTTATTTTGAATTCCAGCTGCCTCGGAAGCAGCACTGTAAAAAAATATCTCAACTAGATATTAGTTTTTGTTGTAATCAAAAATAAAAAATACCAACCTGACAATTAATTGTTAGTTCTAAATTAATCGTTAGTTCTAATTGTTAATTAATTAGTTCTAATTAGAACTAATTTTTGGAATATAATGATTTGTTATTTATCATTAAAAGATCAAGTTTAAATAAGCCACTTTTTGTTAAAACAATACTGCTATGTTTTACGCAATAACAAAAAAAATTAGTTCTTATTTTTTCAATTTTATCAACTCAAACCTTTGAACGATAAAAATTTAAATTTTTTGAATTTAAATTACAGAAAAATATTCAGTATTGTTATAATAATAAAATTGTTTACTATATTTTGTTTTTATTCAAAAAGCAATTAAAACTACTGCTATTTTAGGACTTTAAACCAATGAAAATCAGTGGTTAATTTGAGGATGCTCATATTACACAAAAATGGCATCTTTAAATAAAGTAAAAACTAAATGTTTCTATTCATTGTTTTTCAAACAAAAATGTATTGGATTTTTAGCTAACATATTTCTTCATGAAAAAATGAGTTTCATTATTTTAGCCAAAATTTCGCGCCACAGGTTTATTCATCCGTGATGATATTATTTTAACAAGGCAAAAATTTTAGCGTTTTAATTAGATTATAGCCGCTAATTACTGCATACAAATTTACGTTAATTGTACTGATTCCTGTTATCACTGCATAATTTCGATTCAAAAAATACAAAGCAATATTAACTTCACTGCTTACATCTGAGAAACATTTCATACAAATAAACAACTTTGGTTTTTGTATTACGACATAGTTATGACTTTTTTTTCCAGGTTTAGCTCTCCTAATTAGAAGAGTACGTTTGATGCACGTTTGTTTATTAAAATAAATAATAAAAATAAATTTTTTTGCAATTAATATTTTTTGAATTCAATTTTTTATTTATTTCAAAACAACGTCAATTCACTTTTCATTACATTACATTCTATAGATAAAGTACTAATTTATTTTGCCCTATAAATAAGATTTTTATGTTATTTTAATTTTAAAAACGATCTCTTCTGCAATTGGTAGAAGTAATACTTAAACATATTCTTAACGCTTGAGAACATGCTTTCAATTTGCAACATATTTGTTATCTTTTGGATTGTGTGATTGCTTTTGAATTTCATTACTTAATAAATCATAATAAATAAAAGTGATATAAAATAAGTCATTTATAAATTTATTCTATTTGTTATTCTTTATTTACTATAGAGTAGATTAGGGTAATATGAGGTAGGTACATACACTTTGGTAGTATGAGCATACTTAAAGATTTCTCAGATGTTAGCAGTGAAGTTAAAGTTGCTTGTATATTTTGAATCGACTTTATGTGGTGATAACAAGAATCAGTACAATTAGCGTAAACTTATATGCAGTTATTAGCGGCTATCATCTAATTAAAACGCTGTTAAATTTTTTTGTGTTGTTAAAATAATATCATCACGGATGAATATATCTGTGGCGCGTAATTTTTTTGCTATCATAATGAAATTAATTTTTTAAAAAACCTCTGTATTTTTAAGAAAAAATTTTGAGTACCCAAATATCTAAGTGGATCAGGAGTAGGGATCCCTAAAAATTGTTTATTCGCAAAAATTTTGGATATAGCATAATTATTTTAGAAAATATTTCAATTTTCGCTTAAGGTGCTCATATTACCCTTATCTACCCTATATTTCCTATGGCTAAATTAATGAAAATAAGAAACATTCTTCAATACTAGTTTTGTCTTAATTGCTTTGTCACAACTTTCTAAACTTATCTAAAAAATATAAATGAAGAAGCTGCATTATTGTCAGAGACGGATCAAGACCAATAAGTAAGGGGAGGCTATTTTTAAATCATAAAACTATTTAGTTCATTTTTTAATATCGGATATTGTTTGGGTGTTATTGGCAAAGTTTTTGATTTTTTCAATGCTTCTGCAAAACGAAATTTTATCATTAAAGAACATGCTAAATTCATAACTACTTTCGCTCTGCGAAACACGATGTCTCTCAAGACATGACGCTTTGCTAACTTTTAGTGTTGAGATTCCGCTCTGGAAAAATTATATCTAAATGAAATAACAGAACATCTTCAATAAAAGCAAGAATTTTATTAATATAAATTAAAGAAAGTAATTTTATTGTGTCTTTAGACTGTGCTGTACATGTGTTTTCGTTCAGTCAGTTGTTTAAAAAAAAGGGTTCCTTTGATATTCGACATAAATACAAAGCTTTTCTTTTCATAGAAAGTTTAAAAAACTTAAAGCTTTTAAATTAGGGTTGTTAACCGGAGGATTTCGTGCAATTCCGGAAAAACAACATTCTTTCGTAAGGAGATTGAGAACACGGAATTACATTTTTTCGTACCGAATGTTACGAAACATTTAAAATCGCCGATGTTCATTTCGCAAAAGCCACTTCCGAAATTTAGCATTTCGCAAGTTGACATACGAAACAAAACTATTTTGCAACATACGAAAGTAGCGGTTTCGGAAGTCGCACTTGCGAAACAAACATTTTTGCCAAACGACGTTTTGAAGTCTATAAAGAAAATTTGTTTGCCAGACTGATTTTAAATGTAAAAATTAACATCTTTAAATCCCAAAATGTTTATAATGAATTTTTATTTTCAGTAAAATAACTTATTAAATTTTTACGGTTTTATTTTTAGAAATATTGATAAAAAATAAAATTTCTTTCGAAACGAAAGTATTTCGGATCACAACATACGAAAGAATTCTTAACGGAAATAAACTTACGAAACGTGCCATAATAAATATATACAACGATGTTTTTTGAACTCATTACGTATATTAAAAATAAGAATGATGGGTAGGAATATACATGTTTTTTTTTTAAAGCATATGAAATTTTTGAAACAGGTTCGAATATGCTTAAGCAAATAGTAAAAAGAGGCTCAAAAATATGCTTTAGTTTAAGCATATTTCTGATAAAATATACCTATTTCAATTATTTCTAAAAGTGTGCACGTTACTAAAATTCTAGCAGATTTTAAAGGTATGTAGAGTCCTGTTTGAATACGCTTTTCAAAGTATAGATCATAGAAAATATTGTTTTTTAATTTTAATAAGATATAAATTTGAGTATAAGATTGTATAGTTCAATCAGTTAGATACGTGATAATTCGCCGCAGAGATCCGGGTTCGCATCCCGCAGCCATTGTAACTTTTGTTCATCAAACTCTTTTTACTTAAGATAGCATTTTTTGACCTCCATGTTCTATATTACAGATCTTTCGTCGCCTTCACAATAGTGACAACCTCTCATCTGTTAGTTATTCTTTTAAGATTGAGTTCATTGTGCATAATTTAACACGTTTCCCTTGCTTTACTAAGTTCTACTTAAATTATGATGAAATGTACGTAAAACAATTTTTTCAAATAATATAATTCATTTTGCTTTAAATCTTTTGCTTTTTGTACTAGACATCTGTCCTAAATACTTTGTAATAATTTCTAGCTAACTCTGAGTCTAATATAACCATTTCTGAATATAATTTCCCTGAGGCTCATACAGCCTATTGTGTTCCATTAAAAGTAACTAGTTTTTGAGTCCAGATATTAATTATAAGCATCTAAAGGTTCACATTACTATTCATTTTCCTGATATATAGAATCCTATTTGCATACGTATCTCTTTCTGTAAATTCTGTTTTATATAGTTTCAAATTATATATTAAATAAATATTACTATTCTCTTAGTTGAATGAACGTATAGCTCATTCAGTTAAGACATTTGGCCGCGTAGACCCAGGTTCACATCCCGCTGTTTCACATATATTTATTCTCTTTTTACTCTTTCTGATATCATTTACCTTTAGAGAGATCTCTCGTTCTTTATAATAAAGTATTTAATTGTTTATCACACATCCTCTTTATACTTTTTAAAAAGAAAGGCATACTGTTTATCTATTCATTGAGAGTTAAACTTAACGGGATTTTACTGTATATATAAGTATATATTTATATATATATATATATATATATATATATATATATATATATATATATATATATATATATATTTATATATATATATATATATACATATATATACAGTAAAATCCCGTTAATGTATATATATATATATATATATATATATATATATATATATATATATATATATATATATATATATATATATATATATATATATATATATATATATATACACATATATATACAGTAAAATCCCGTTAATGTATATATATATATATATATATATATATATATATATATATATATAATATATATATATATATATATTAGGTATATTTGTATAAACATTTGAAGAATCATTTGACAACATTTTTTTATAATTTTATTATCTATTATTTGAACTGTTAACGGTTAATATCTTAAATATATCGTAACATAAAATCTTTTGCGTCTTTTTCGTAACTACACATTCCGGAATGCTTTTTCCGTAAGGAACTATTTCGTAAGTATTCTTACGAAATAATTTGTTTCGCAAGTTTTCTTTCGCAATGCTTTATTACGGAATTTTATTTATTTATATTTTCGTATAGCGCGTTACGGAATGTGCATTTTCGCATGTGCAACTTCCGTAATAACAATTCTATTACGGTAGATAAAAATGCGAAATTTTCGCAAGTTTTGTTTTTCGGCGAACAACCCTATTTTAAATATAAATTAGTTTATTCAAAT